TAGTAGTATGCATTACTACTGGCAATCCTGCCACGTGGTGGCTTCTTGTTACGGTGTATCCACCCCACTGTATGATTACACTTAAAAACAAGTCAGTACGTGGCTGGAACTGTCAGTACTTATACATTCAATTAGGTTTTACTATGTAGATAGAAAAACCTAAAGATTTAGATGTAGGCGGCTTTGCTGCAAATAAAACCGAGAAATACAGTTTTCAATATGGACGGAAGAGTTCATTAGTATTGGGTTAAACTCCAGAAAGAAGCGGATTACGATCCGCTGCACTCGCACTGGTTTTAAGTAGAGAACGAAGGTCACCGACCTTAATCAAGCTTCCGCCAAGTGAAAGAGCCACGGCAGCTCCACTGCAAGTCGTCTTTTGACGCGGCTGATCTGCCGCGTCTAACCACATATAAACAGAAGACCATAGATATATAGTGCAGAGTGAAACAGGAAGTTGGATGTGGGGAATCGCATTGAGCACTACTGAGCGGTGTGCGCCTTTTAAAGGGTATTCGCTAAATTAAAAAGGTGTATATTTTGCCGAGAAACCCTTCCTAGGTTGTTTTCATTGCACAAGCACTGTACAAACTATGCCGATATGGCATAATCCCTCTTCGATTTTCTTGTTAAGAATATCGAATGTTACGGCTCGGTATGGCCGTATAGAAGACCAAGGGCTGTTGGCTCATGATCTGATACAATCGTTTTAGGATGTGATCGTTAAACAGTCAGGCTGAATTCGGTAAGCTAACTATTGGCATTCTTGACGGTGTTGTCCGTTTTTCTACCTTATGTGATATCGAACCTAATAATGATGTATCCCCATTCGTGACGTCAGCATTCTTAGCGAAGCTTCCCCCAGCAGAATTTCTGCCGCTGCTGCGAAGATAACGAGACTGTTATTAGAGTTGTTTTCCCGATTACTTATCAGGTGAAGCCTGTACTAAAATATTATCAGACTACAGCAAAAATTCTGATTTTGGAAAGATTTGATTCCTCCCTGCACTTCAATAATCTGTTTCTGTACACAGTGTTTCCTAGTACTTTTTGTAAGGAGTCAGATGTATCTATCTGCCCTTTGATGTTAGAAGACGCGCAACATGAGTCGATGATAATTCTATTCTTGGAAGGGATTCTGCTAGCCGAGCAGTTTGGCTTTTACAGGACAAGTAGGACTCATCTTTATAACACTCTTCTTTTCAACAATCGAATTCGATCTCCAAAAATAACGCTCAGCAGATGCCAAAATTAGCATATTTTTGGTCCCGCCTGCTGCAAATTAAGTTGTTTTTCGCCAATCAATCCATAGTACCAGCGCTCTGTTCTCAAGAAAATGACGCCTTGCTCATTCTTCGCGGCGGGCAGGTGTCGTAATGGTAGGGATTGCAAATTCTTTCACGCGGCTCGCGACGATGTAGCGATGATTCCGCCGCTTTGTAAGTTCTTCTTACTCGGTACATGCACCGATGGAGGCGAGTGCAAGTTCCTGCACACGGCTCCAGCTCAGGGGTCAGCTTTGCGTGTGAACACCAAAACTGGCGAGAAAATTTTGGAACCGGGTTTTTATGGAATCTCGTGCAAGTTTTTTAAATATGGTAATTGCTGCAATGGGAACAACTGTCCGTATTTACATTCGGAAGAGGAAGGAAGACTTGAGAACAAGGCTGAAGTCGCGACAGATGGACCGCGTACACTACAGTCTCAGATAGATAAAGTGGAAAAAAAAGGTAGTCATACTGCTGATATGTCGGGCGGAGGGCACGGTGTTGACTACAACGGGGAGGAAGAAGCGACAGAGCTCAGGGACTTTATTACCAAGGAGGAAGGTCGGAACGAATGGAATGTTGTGGTATGTGCTAAGGACTTAATCTTTCTTGTTACAATACGCTAAAATATCTAGAACTGTATTACTATGGAGATCCAAGTGACTTGAAAGGAGCGATTGCCGAATCCAAACCGTCCATGACGAAAGAATCATATGGTGAGGCTGCCAAGAAAGACCAAAAACACGAAATAATGCCATTTTATGAACAGCGTCCCACACCACCGTACGTCCTGAACTGTTAATAGTGTTGTAGATTGGTATTTGGTTGCTTGCATTACTATGGCTCCTCACTTTTTTCTAGCAAAATGTGCAATTTTTTCCTTAAAGGGAAGTGTCGGTACGAAAAATCGTGCTTTTATTCTCACTCGCTGTTCGAGCGCGTAGAATCTGAGGATGAGAAGCTTGCGATAGAGGAAGAGATTCGTTTATCCCAGGGTCTGCAATGCGACATTTGCTACGAAAATATTATAAGAAAAAATGAGCGATTTGGATTGCTGTCTGGATGCAATCACTCCTTTTGTCTTACTTGCTTAAGAAATTGGCGAAGCAGTGAAATTCAGCCAAAGCAGACAGTGCGTCAGTGTCCTGTGTGTCAGACCAAGACAAGCTTCATTATTCCATCAAGTCGGATGGTCAACAACCCGGGTCGCAAAAAAGCCCTCGTGGAAGCTTACCGAGTATGCCCCCTTGGACAATCACCCGGGTATCAATAGGACTCACTGTTATTGTGACATTCGTCTAACAGAAGAAATTAAATGGCGTTTCGTGTCGCCGCTTCGATGAAGGAAGGTATGCTTCGTTGCTTGGTCTAGATATAGGACCGTTGCTGTGTTGAATACCGTCTTTGCTGTGCTGCATACAGAGGGGCATGTCCATTTGGAACTAGCTGTTTTTACGCCCACCGTTATCCGGATGGGACTTCAGCACAAGTGCAAACCACAGTTGATGCTGACGGCCAATGTAATCTCCTTCGTCAAGTACGCCTTGACCGTTTCATTAACCAACTTGAGATCAACGAATAGTTGCCCTTACTCTTGAGCATTCCTAGGAAAGTGTTTATGAATTGCATGTAAGTTTGTAATTTCGGCGTTGGCATTTTGTTCGATTGACAATGAAGAATTATGAAGGTACAATCTTATGTTTCGAGACAAATTTGCAACGATTAAGTAATATATTATCACGAAAATATTATGCAGATTTTTTGGCGACCAGAGTTGTGAACGAGCCATCTATCTGTCCAAAAAAGGCTTTATCTGCCATGCCGCAAAAGAGCCCAACCTCCACCACACCAGGCAACAACTTAAGGTAATCACACAACGTCTTCGGGTTACTTATGACGCCGAAATCGACATCAAGTACAAAGTTGCCATTGTCCGTGATCACCGGTCCTGCCTTGCATTTAGCCATGCGAAGCACGGGCTTGCCACCAAAATCCTGCTCGATCTTGTTCATAAGCGGCACGTAAGCCATAGGAATGACCTCAATAGGTACGCCCTGCGTCCATTTCTCGCCAAGAAATCTAGATTCCTTGCGGTAGTCGGCAACTATCACGAACTTTTTGGCAGCAAAAGCTACAATTTTTTCCTGCAATTGACAAGCACCACCACCCTTGATACAGTTTAGCTGTAAATCTACCTCATCAGCTCCGTCAATGGTTACGTCGATCACCGGAAACTCTTCTAAACTTGAAAGCGTAAGCTTATACTTGTCGATAAGCTGCTTAGCTTGGAAAGATGTAGGGATGCATTTAATACCGGAAAGTTTATGCCCCTTAACGAGCTCTCCAATGCGCTCAGCAGCGTAAACTATGGTGGAGCCACTGCCAACACCTACCACAAAGCCGCTTTTAACATATTCATCCACGGCCTGGTGTGCGGCCTGCAGAAAACAATTACCAGCAACTGGTGAGCGCGTTTAAGTAGCCTTACTGCAATGTTGCTTACGATGCGCTTGGCCTGCTCGATGGTGCTTAACATGTTCATTCAGTCAAAACATAATATACGTAATTTACACAGTTATCTCAGAAGTATTCAAGAATCAAGCTATTCATATAAATGATTCGTGGCGATTTCCATTGGTAGAAATTCAGGCTTGGAGATACAAGTGCATCTATTTTGTGAACTCGAATATGCATTGCATTGCGGTCGATAAGTGGGCACGGATGAAAAGAATCGACTGACGTTAGCTGAAACCTTGATGTGTATGTAGAGTCTTTTCAGCCATACAATGGTCTTACCGCGTCTGATCTCGTCCGCCGTACTTAGAGCTTGATATGGGGTATTTGCCCGCGGTAACTTGCACGACATTTATGTCAGTACACCGTGCACTTTAAAAAGAGTAAGCTTCGACTCAAGAACAAACGCACAGAGGCTGGACTTGTATGCTTCAACAAGTTGCGGATTGAGAACCTCTAACGTAGCTATTTATCTCACTTACTTTGGTATATCAAGAGTACATATATTCTGGAATGTTCTGATTGAGACTAATCCCAAATTAATACGTTTTACCTATCTCATCATTATTTTTTTTTCTGTCGCTTGACGTGCGGTTAGTAGCACACGCTGACCCCCGACCTCTTCATTTAGGAATCCATCATCTTTGTATAAATCAAAACTTAAATATATTCACATACAAAAGTGCATTTTGAATCCTGCACAATCGTTGCGAAGGGTGCCCAGCTTGCGCATGCGAAAATCACGCTTTTTGCTTTAATCACACTGTAATTGCGGTATTAAATTGCCTGAAGCCGAATGTCGCGCTGATGCAGAGATGCTACAAACCATTCGTAGATCGCGAAAGCGATCCACGAACGGTCACTTGCTAGGGTTACAGCCTGCACTAGGGGCGGCAGCGGTTAAGGGGGCCAGTAACTTTTAGATTAGATACCCGAAGCTAGCGATAGTGTGGTCGAGCCGGGTGAGAGAACGCGCCGTCTCACCCGTATCGAGACTTTTATCGCTAGTATTGTTGAAGCAAACGTCAGACAGGAGTGTGACGTGGTCGCCAACTA